ACATTTCATTAAGATCAGATAAGAAACACAGAATTAGTTAACAAAAACCGTATTTTCTCATTGAACAAACTGTTATCAAGTATGTTTACTATTTAAGACCTGGGTCAAGGGTGTCTCCTCGTCGAGCTCCCTCGACTGCTGCATTCTAACTTGTTTTTTTTATATTTTTATTGGTTGTTGTCTGCTCGCGCCTTGATATTATGGAAATCGTGCTTAGGCCTCAAAAAACCAATTCAATTACAAGATGAAACATCTTAATCCCCACACCCCCTCGTCGGATAGCACTATGCTATATATATTTAAACAAAGGCTGAGCTAATGAGCTGAGCTGATTGAGCGGCTGTCCACAAGTCGGGAATAAATGGCAACAAATAATTGGCAATTTTTTATTTGCTTTGTTAAACGCTAAACGATTTTGTTCGCGCTTCGTTTATAATTCATAATTCGCATCTGTTGTGGTTTTTCATGTTGTTTTCTTGTTGTTGTTGTTGTTTTGGTGATGCTACTTAGAAAAGATTTTGATTTATTTGCAATCACTTGAACGCTCAGAAGGTTAATTGTGGTTAAACGTCTATTAAACTATTGATTAATTTGCAGTCAGACAAAAGAAACGTGTCTGCCACTGTGTGTGTTTGTCTGTGTGTGTGTGGGGGTGTTTTAGCGGTAAATTATTTGCAATATCAGTTAATCTAATTCGGATAAGGAAGTCAAGATCAGCAATTAAAGGAAATTAGCTTTAAACCACTGATCATATACAAACAAAGTAAGGATTTATAATTAACTATAACTAATCAGTATTTTGGGAGTGATAAATCTTCTCAACTTATTCGATTCATTCATAACTCGAGTGAGTAGTATTCACAGAAAGCTTGCTTCTCAGCAGCTTGGAAACCAACCAAAAGTCAGCTCCAAGTTGTACTTGACAACTGAAAGTAGGCAACAGTTTTAGCAGCTTAAAATAAATATAAATATTAAACAAACTAAAGCACAACTTCAGGCTGAAGTTTGGCAAGAGTTGCTCACTTATACTTAAGCACAATCCGTTTATCTAAGCGCAATCATGATTGCGTTAACAATTTTCATGCGTGGCTGACTTTAAGGTAAATTTTTTCAGCTGCTGCTGTCAGAATGTTTCACATAACTCTTAACCCCGAGCCGTCTACACAAATCATCGCAATAAGTGTGTGTGTGTGTAAAAAATATAAAGTGCGTTTGCTGACTTTGTTATACCCTGAAAACAATAAAAATCGAAAAAAGGTACAATAAAGTAATGCCAAAGTATGTAATGGGCAGAAACAGATATCTACAAGCCCATAAAATATATATTCCTTGTTCATGAGCAACAACAGCCGAGTCGATTTAGCCGTATATATGAACAAGCCGATCTCAGCGATTAAAAAAGCTATCATCTTCAAATTTGGAATATAAGTTTCAGATAAAGTTCATCATTAAAAAATGGGTTTTCCATTGTAAAGGTAAAGCCTTACAGCTGATATCTAATATACATAGAAGTATTATTGATCAACACTAAAAATGTAATTAAAATCGTCTGGAAAAGCTACTATTAGTAAGCTTACTAAACATTTTTAAGAGAATCTGTTAGTCGAGCCCGACTAGAGCATTCTGACTTGGGGCTTCTGTCGCTGTTTTTGTTGTTGTTGTTGTTCTTGTTGTTGTACACACCTCACTTTGGCTGTTTGTTGTCTGCCGATAACAATCAGCAGTCCAATTCCATGCCAGGGGCAATTTCGCCTTTGATTGATTTACAAGAGAGGATTTCAGTTGTTTTGTTTTTTGCTGTTTTGCAAACGTTGCGTATGCGTAATTAGAAAACATGACGATCTACTCAGGCGCTCGAAATAGAAACAATGATGTCGATAAAGTCATAATTATAATCTGTTGACTAATAATAAATTTGATTATATTTTGAAATTAATATTCAGGCAATAGCTATTGGTTTTTTTGTTATCTACGAACAAATTCCAGTTAAGATAAAAACATTTTGCCGACGGCGCCATATGTTTGGCGTACAGCCAGATTTGATTTTAGAAGTATTAATATTAATTAATTTGTTGCTCAAATTATTTACATACATTTGCGTGTTGTTCTGTCGCTGGGAAGAGCTGACTCTACCCGAATATAAATAACTTGTATGGGAAATTACACCCGGATGGAATAAGTCATTCATACCAATGGAATCCATGCCATTTGTCTGTATTTGTCTGTCGACTGTCTCTCGTTACACGGCATTCGATAAGGTCATCACGGCAAACTAATGAACTTGTTCTACGCGCAGCTCAAACAATGAATCTGCCAACTAATCAGCACAATGCGTGCCGAATCTTTTGACATCTCGAAAATAATCTCAAAACTATAATGCTGTAATCATAAATCATGCAAAAAACGCACAAGCCACAACTCGGATACTCAAGTGGCAGCCACACGTTGCAGCTGCAGCCAAGTCAAACACAATAACAACCAACAACTAGACAAAAGACGTAAAAATAACAAGAGGGCTCGACATTAGAGGGACTGGCAGACTGGCGTATACCCTGTAATGTTACTTTGCATATGCTAAACTTAGTTATGCTATTGTTGTCTAATCATTTATTTATTTAATATAAACTAAATTCTGAGTATACATTTTAAGCGATTAAAATTTAAAACATATTTTTGGAAAAGTGAAATAAATAAATCAGAACTAATTTGAACAGTTAAGCTAAAATTTAAAATAAAAAAAATATAGTAAAAAAAACCATCTTGACTTACACACCTACTCATATAGTTGCTGAGAACAAATACATATATAGATTGATTGGTGGAAAACAATTCTATAATCCAAATCTAAGATCTTCAGCTTTAATAATTTGTGATACCACCCTTGCCACCCTGTGTCTGCTATGAGCAATTGTTTACAGGGTATAAAGACATAAATCACGCCCGAGAGCGACACTCGTTAAGACGTTAATCAAAAGCAATCCAGAGAGTCGCGCGCGAAGGGCGCGTGTCTTCGTCAAAAGCAGCAGCAGCAACATTTGAGCAACATTTGAGCAGCAGTTGAGGAGCAAGTGAAGCCGTCGTGTCCAGCTGCAGCTATGGCCAAATCGAAGGCCAAATAACTAATGCTTGTGTAATTACACTCGGGCCCTGTGGCAAAAGACGTTGCTCAACGAATTGCAATTGCAAGTTGCAAGTTGTAAGTTGCAGTTGCACTTTTTTTGGGTGCCTTAATGAAGCCAACGGCAGCAGCAGCACCAGCTCAATTTATTGACTAAATGACTGATGAACTGACGACAGCTGGTGGGAATTGAGTCGTCGCCACATTTCTATATTGATTTTGGCTCTAACCGAGAACTGAGTACTGAGAACTATAAGCTGAGATTCGGATTCGGATTGGGGCACCTTGAGTGCGCCCAAGTATGGCAAATACAGGTTGCTCGGCGACAGTCAAGCATCGTTATGCGTTTATATTTATAGCCATTATGGGTTACACTATGGATGCATACATGGAATTATGGATTTGCTAAGCAATCGACAAACATTAAACAAACGACCCGCCTGAGAAACCAAAACACGGCTGCTTGACGTGCTCGGTATTTCCGACTGTGATTTATTGGAGATGCCATAATTGATTGATTTGACACTGTCCAGGTCACGTTAACCTTTGACTGCAAAGTGTACATACATATTATTATTAGCTATATATAATTATTAGCTAAACTGGGATTAAATCTCCTTATGCTTATACTCTTTATATATGTATGAGTAGGAAGGGTATAATGAAATAGTGCAAAGGTATGTTACAAGCAGAAGGAACCAAATCCGATCCCTTGCGCGTATATCAATATTAATAGATTTCCGATAGCAATAAATCACCATTTAGGTTTTAAAGATTATACATATTATATAGCCAGGTATAATATTGATCAACTGTAAAGCACTCATTAAGATCGACGAAGTGAGACAGATCTCGTTAACCATTCACAAATGAATATCAGCAAACCTTTTCTGTATTCAGGGTATTTCCTAGTCGAAAAAGTTCGAGCACTCTTTCAGATATCTTTAATGAAAGTGCTAACTTATTTTTTATGACGTATACATAATATATATTAATATAATTAAGTTGCGGTCGTTTGTGATGATGACTTTAACTCTTATACACTGGTTAGTGTTAAATTGATGGATACAAGGAACTTGTTAGCTGATTAGGTAATTGTTTGAACGATTTTGATTTGTTAACAAGCTAAAAGATAGATAAATTAAGTAAAACTTGATCATTTTATGACAGACTTTTTCGACAATAGTTTTGAGATTGCCGCAAAAGTCAATCGTAAAATCAAATTTTACCTATCAAATTTGACATTCTTCCACAATAGTTCTAAGATTGTCGTAGAAGTCAGAAGCTATAAAATTGGTTGGGCCGTTCTCTAATTTGTCTTGCTGTGCTTAATACTTTAATTACACAAATCATTAAGATTGACAGCGTAGTCAGTCATAAAAATATTAAAATAAAATATTATATAAAACAAATAGCAAATATTTTTATATTTTAATGACAAAGAAGTCATTAAAATATTAAGCACAGAAAACCAATAGACAAAAGTTCAAGGATCGTCAAAGAAAAACTGATTTTTTAAGCTGCAATTGTTCGTTTTAGGGAGCTGTCACTGTGCTTACTGTACTGTATATATATGCATATGTTTCCAATTCAATTCAATCTCAATTTCATGCTGCTGCACTTGAACCGTTGGTATTTTGACTGCTGCTGGTGGTGGTGGTGGTGGTGGCATTTATTGTGGTGCCGGCGCTAATGACCGCCGCCATATATCTTTGAAAGCGTCAACAGGCTGTCAGAACTGACGCCGCAGAAGGTTAACTGCCGTTAAGACTTCGCACTTGGCCACACTTGGACATTGGCCAAGTGCAGAAATCCCAACACATAATTGCTATTTGCTTATTGTTGATTGTGGCTTGTTGTTTGTTGATTGTTGTTGTTATTGTTGTTGTTGTAGAATTCTTCTTTATTTTTGAAACGAACATTTACAAAAGGTTGCCTTTGCAACAACAAAGGGTTCCATTAACTGATTGCTTTATGCTAAGAATACTTAAGTCTGGGAATCGAGGGCAGCATCTCTATCTAAAAGGTAAACGGCCTGGCGGGCTTATTGTAATTGTAGCCATCGGGACCCAGGGAACCAGCTTCGGGTGTCGGGGGGGCGCCGGGCTGGTATCTGGGTGGTGCAGCTGGACTAGAATGAAGAGGACCGTACCCAGCAGTACCTGCCGGAGGTGCGGGTGGGCGTGGCTGGTAAACAGGTGGTGCGGGAGGCTGCAATAGTGGCGGTCCATAAACGGGAGTAGGTGCCAGTTGTGCGCGTGGTTGTAGTGAGCGTGGCTGATACACAGGTGGTGCAGGTGGGCCGGATGGAGGAGGACCATAGCCGGGAGTGGGAGCTGGAGGAGCTGGTGGCTGAGATGGAGGAGGACCATATCCGTTAGAGGGTGCCGGTGGTGCGGGTGGTGTGGGTGGACGGGGCTGATAGACAGGTGGTGCAGGTGGTTTAGATGGTGGCGGTCCATAGCCGGGAGTGGGTGCCGGTGGTGCAGGTGGTGTGGGTGGGCGTGGCTGATAGACAGGTGGTGCAGGTGGACCAGAAGGAGGAGGACCGTAGCCGGGAGTGGGAGCTGGAGGAGCTGGTGGCTGAGATGGAGGAGGACCATATCCGTTAGAGGGTGCCCGGTGGTGCGGGTGGTGTGGGTGGACGTGGCTGATAGACAGGTGGTGCAGGTGGTTTAGATGGTGGCGGTCCATAGCCGGGAGTGGGTGCCGGTGGGCGCGGCTGATAACTGGGTGGTGCTGGTGGTTGAGATGGTGGTGGACCATAACCATTAGTGGGTGCCGGTGGTGCAGGTGGGCCGGAAGGCGGCAAATACTCAGGTGCTGGCTTTTGAGGACGTGATGGCTGTGGACGTGGCCTTGGCTGTGTGGGTGGTGGTCCATATGCAGTTGGTGGTGCCGGTGGCGAAGGACGCTGCGGAGTGGGACGAGGCCTTGGCGGCTGCTGCGGCTGATCGGGCGGCAAGTATTCCGGTCCAGCCGGTGGTGGCGATGGAGGCTGCGTCTGCGGTGGTCCATAAGACGGACCTGGCACAGTGGGTTGTGGACGTGGTGGTTGGGTTTGTGGTGGTCCATAAGATGGCCTTGGCACAGTGGGTTGTGGACGTGGTGGTTGCGTTTGTGGCGGTCCATAAGACGGAGCAGGCACAGTGGGTTGTGGACGTGGTGGTTGCTTTTGAGGTGGTCCATAGGATGGAGCGGGTCCCGTCGGCGCTGGCCGAGGTGGCTGTGTCTGTGGCGGACCATATGAAGGACCCGGAGCCGATGGCGTCGGCTGTGGACGCGGTGGCTGCGTCTGCGGCGGACCATACGAGGGCGCAGGACCCGTGGGAATTGGCTGCGGCGCTGGACGCGGTGGCGGCGTCTGGGGCGGGCCATAAGAACCACCTGGTTGCGAAGGAGCAGGTCCGGGAATCAAACCGGAATCCTCAATGCCATTGCCAGTGGGCGGCAGCGGAAACGGTTGCGATGGCTGCTTGTAATGGTATCCATCCTCGCGTAAATCTGTGTCCAGGTGCGAGACATCCGCATGGACGCTGGCAGCGAGCAGCGCCGCCAGAGGCAGTAAAAAGCGCTGCGAGATGCAAAAAACACAACAGACACAATTTTAGAACTGAATGCAGTTCAAGTCAATCAAGACATTCACACAGATCACACTCACCATGCTGGCTCTAACGTTAGCTACAAATACGATTCTCTCACACAAAAACTTGCAACTATTTTTCTTATTTTCTTTCTAATTTATTTTTTACCGGTTTGAGCGCACACGAAACTGAAACTGGACTCGAGTCGGGGTGGCAAGCGAAGCGAAGCCAGCGACGTCTTCGTTGCAAAATCAGAAAATCGAATGATGCCCAAATGTTCTCCCTTGCCGCATTTATACCACAAGCAGCTAGCAGCCAGCAGCCAGCAGCAACAAACAACAAGCAACAAGCAGCAGCAGCCCCTAAGCTCCAAGCTACGCTCAATAAGTAGATGGCAAACGATTTTGACTCGTCGTTCGAGCCAACGAGTTTTGGCTCAAAAATGAGACTCACTTGGCTCAGTCATCATCATCATCATCGTTGGCGTCGTCGTCGTCGTCGTCATCGTCGTGATGCTGCAACCTTTGTTAGTTGTTGTTGTACTTGTTGTTGCTGCTGCTGCCGTGCTTGGTAATCAACAGCGATTGTAAGTCAATAACAACGCGTACCAGTTAAGTATCTACTTTTTAGTATTTTGTATTTAGCGCTTAGGGTTTTTTAAATTCCAATCCGGTGCTCTGGCTCCGGCTCTGGCCCAGGGCCATTGATGTGTTAACCAGGAATCATGCTTATCAAATAGTTTGCTCATCAGCAGTGCTCCACACTTAGGCAAAAAATCAACCAACTTTTAGAAATTATTTCTAAGTGTACGACAAAAATGTCTTAAAATTAGAAATCGTTCGTTTTTCTATTTTCGAGATATGTTATCGGTTATTTATAAATAAATATATAGAATTATATTTATTAATAAAGTTCTTAAATAAATATCTCGAAACATTTTACATACATTTTAGAAAAAACTATTCTGGAATTGAACAAAGAAACACACCTAATTTGCTTTAAGACACAAATTTGTGTTTAAGGAATACACCTGCTAAATAATAAGTTTCCGGCACCAGAAGTTTGCTGATTCGCTCACTTTTACTTCAGGGCAATCGTTTTTCCGAGTGTAGATGCCCAGCGTTGTTTTTAACATACACTTGCAAAAGGCATTCTGACTTAGTCATGCTAGGTGTAACACATTAAACATTGTTTCTGTAACGCCATTGATCAACAGCTACAGTCTTCATTTGGCAAGTTGCTGTTGATTTTCCAAGTAGCACAAAAGTCAAGGATTGCATTTGGAAGCAGTATACAATAAATTGGAGATCTAGTTGTGCATAGAAGTAAAAGTCAGAAATATTACAACTCCACAAAATTGTATATGCAGTTAGTAGCAAAGGACAAATCAGATAAAATATAACAATGTCCCGAACTCAGTTTAAAATTCGTTTTGCTCCACAATGTTAAGATTCTTCCCACATATAGTTTGTTTTTGAAGATATATTGATAAGACTCATGAATTACGAGTCTTGGTTAGACTCCTCTTTATTCAAATTGAGGTTTAAGCCGGTACCTGAACAGAAACCGCAACTATAGCAATTAACAATATAAGCGGAACTAAAATTCCACGTTTTTTCATGTGCCATTTCCAGGAATCGATTTTACGAGTCATCATATTGCCTTGATGGAACCGAATATCGAAAAATATCTAAAAACCAATTCATAAATTTTACCAACAACAAACAAAATACGATTCGACTATGACACAATGTTTACAACCAAATACATTGTTTTTTGTGAACATTTCTCTAAAGCTCTTCAAGAATGTTAACTAGTTTTTAATTAGCCGTAATCTGCATAGTTGTCTCCCTAATTCGTCTTAATACGTATCTATATTTATCTAATATATAAATCAATCTTACATATATTTATTGCCTGTTAGGGAATTCAAGCTTTGTCACTCTTCGTTTAGTTAGTTTGGCTCTTTTTGTTTTGTTTTATTATTATGAATGTAAACTTAATCCCAGTCGAGTATTTGCTCAGCCAACCGAACAAACTGACAACATCAAAATAGGAATACAAGTAGCGACAGCAATAGTAGCCACCGCACCACCAACCCGCACCACCAACCAACGTTGGAGGTTGATAAATGTGTGAAATGGTTGAGCGTTTGCATATTTTTAGATATTTGCAATCACAAAACAACTGAAGATGGCTGCTATGACAAACAGCGAACGAAATCGTGCCAAATTGAGAATGACAGATTTGTTGTATTTACAGTTACTTATGGCCAATGCACAATGGACAGCAATTGAAACTAATTTGAATTGACAGCAAGACAAGCGCACAGCTGGTCAAATAAATATTTCACTCGAAATAAAGCGCCAATATCAATTAATTAATAAGCCAATTAGCCGGGCGGGTTACGCGGCGTATACACAATATACGAAGCCAGCTGGGCGAGTTTTCAAGCTGAGCTACAGTTTAAGTTTTCTGTTTATAGACTCCATACTATTAAAAATATCTAAATAGGGTATAATGAAGTGTTCCCTAGGAATGTAGCAGGTTAAGTAAATATATATTCTTGATCTAAAGCAACAGCCGACTCGATATAGCCATGTCAAGATAAACTCAGATACTATCTGAGCTAAAAACTTAAAATTTCGATTGGAAAAGAAGATTAAAATATATTTTTGTAAAAATGTAGCCTTACAATTGATATATAATAAACGCAGAAATATAATTTATCAACTGTAAGATCGTATAAAAAACACAATTTATGTTAATAGAAATGTATTTTCATATCAAACAAATGACCATCAGCAATATCTATTATATATATCTATAACAGCTGATTCAGGGTATCTCCAAGCCGACCGGTCTCGACTATCTCATTTCAACTTATTTCATTTTGATTTTGTATTATTTTTTTGTATTAATTAACGTTGCATTTTTATTGAATTTGTGTTTGTTTTGCATTTGCTACAGGTTTTGTTGTGTGATTGTTATTTGTTTTTGCTTTTGATTTTTTTCATTATCTATTTGTTATTGTTGTGTTGCTATTTTTGTGCGTGAAGCATTTACAAATTGTGTGTGTATCTGTTTGTGTGTGTTTAGTTTAATCTTAAAGTGTTTTACTTAACGGTCTAACATAACAAGTTGGCAATAACTGTCAGTTGTTGAATCAATGTGTTTATTGCACTTAAACTAAATTCACTTTACGATGAAAGTAATGCACAATTCCTCTAGTTGAATTTAATACTTTTGTTTTCTTGTTATGATTTCTATGCCTAAATGGAGAAGCGTTTATTTCAGTGAGATAATTTTTAATTGTATTAACTTGTTTCGCTAGCCTGAATTTTCATTTGCCAATCGTTCTCTGCTTCTATTCTGATTTTCTTTATTAAAATCTATAAAATGCGCTTAAATCGTTTTTCATTTATTGTTGCGCTTTGCAATGTTTAACCTTTTGTAGTTTTTTTGTTTTTTTTTTTTTGCCCAATTGGGATGCATTAGTCGATTTGTGGCGCTTTACTTGCCACGATAGATTTCGATGATGCGATCCTGATCGACGTACTCGAAGATATGTGGCGCATCCATCAGAATGCCAATCGTGCCCGCAGTGGTTACTATAAAGAATATATATAGCTGCAAGCGATCGATCACCATTGCCACATATTTCCAATCCTCGCGGGTCTAACAAAAATAAATCAGATATCAGATCAGATCAGTTTCGCGATAGATACTCACCTGTATGTAGAGATCCTCGTTGCGCAGATGCTCGGCTATAAACTCAACGGCTTCGGTCGCTTTGCTCGCCTCCGGGGAGAGTAGAATCGAATCGGACGATTCGCTTTCGCGACGACAACCATCGCCCAGGCCCAGATCGGCGCCGCTGTTCACCTTGCGATTGATCTTACAGTTGGGATGATGTAGATCCGACAGTTCCATGACCTCCATTTTGGACTGCTTGCCCCCAATGGCGCTGATATGCTTGGGCAACTCGGCCGGCGAGCCATACGAGGGATGCGGATGTGCTGGCATACTCATCCCGGGCATCTCCATCATCCAACGGAGACGGGTCTTCCGCGGCCTCTTCATCAGCAGAAAGGCGGGCAAATAATGCAGAAACACGGATCGTATCCACATGGGCATGCGATGAGTGCGCGGCCCACGGAAGTTCCAATTGATAATGATGACCGTGACCAGAATGGACACCGTGTTCATAATGAAGGTGAACAGCAGATATTTGGCAATCAATGGCAACACCAGCGACGTGGGCGGTAGAATCTTCGACACGAGCAGCATGAACACAACCAGTGACAGCAGATACTATGCCAAGCGTGACCTAAGAATTAAATAGACACCATAAGTAAAACCAGTAAAAATGTGGAAAGAGTCGAGAGAGATCGAATACGAGATACCCTGTACTCTTTCAGTAATGAGATTAAAATCAGTACGCTTTTTGGTAACTAACTTGGGTCAGGAATATATATACTTTATAGATCGGAGATGCATCCTTCACTATGTTATACACCACTTGAACAACTTCATTATACCTTTGCCCTTGTTTAATGGGTAGTTCTTATGTCAAGCTCACCTTTTCGCCAGCCTCGGCGGGCAGATAGAAGACGAGCACGCAAAGGAATGAGATCAGCACCGTGGGCAAAATTAAATTCACCGTGTAGAACAATGTTTTGCGTCGTATAATGATGTAGAATGTAATATCCGTTTCGGTCGGGTGATTACTGTCCCCCTCGTACACATTGAGATAAGCAGGCACCTCGATAATATCCCAAGTGCCCGACTTCCAATAATCGGAGAGATCCACAAAGTTCTTATTGTTGTACAGCGCCAACGAGACCTGATCCCCATTGAAGGTCCACGAGCCGAACTTCATGATGCATGTCTGCTGATCGAAGGGAAAATAGGTGACATCAATGGTGCAGGAGCTCTGATAAATTGCGGGTGGCACCCAGAGCACCTC